CATAATTAGAAGAAAGGCGTTTAGTTAGATTATCACTGTAGATCTAACGTACCCTGATGAAAATGCCATTCTCCTCTAGTGTGTCCTTTAGTCACAATGTGAAGTGCTCATTTCCCCTAATTGAAGCTCTTTGAAGTATGTTGTGTTGGCTCTGCAGTGTCTTATTTACTCAAAGAAATCCACTGAATAAATGCAGTGGATAGCTAATTGTATTTTGCCTCAACTTCTTGGCATGCAAGTGTAAGAGGCGAGGAATTTTTCGTAGACCCTTTGGCTTTATAGAAAAAAAGAGCAGGGAAAACAGGGGAGGAAAGTAAACCACAGGGCTCCCATTATGCTGGAGAAAGTTGTACTGAAATTGGAGTGCGATGCTGAAATGCGAGGAGAATCCTGGAGTCTGAAGCCCTTGTTTTCGTTCTTAACAGTAGAGGAAAACTCCTTTTCTTTCCCCCCTTGCCAGTATCTCAGACTGCTACAAGGCTGAAGCAGCAGAAGGATCAGGTCTTTAGGACCCTTGAAGACCTTTATCTTTTATACAGCTACTGCCAAAAATAGTAATTGTTAATGGGGGCCATGATGTGAATGCAAGTCCTTAAGGAACTGAATAGATCAATTAATACATTTTACGGAGGTCATCAGACAGCTGCTAGATGGTGATGACTTTCAATCACTACTGAACCAAGATGGATTAAGCTAATTACATTACCAATTCCCTGAACCATCCTGTTCTCTGTATGTTTTTTGTGATATTCTGTTCTTTACTCTGTTGAATGCTTGCATAGATAAAGGAGGAATACTCAGCAAGGAATGTTTGAGCCCCGTTTTGAGACCAGCCTGTGGTACAACGTACCAAATACCTTTCATAGAATCATAGAATCATAGAATGTTTAGGGTTGGAAGGGACCACTAGTGGTCATCTAGTCCAACCCCCCTGCAGTGAGCAGGGACACTGCTAACTAGATCAGGTTGCTCACAGCCCCATCCAACCTGGCCTTGAATGTTCCCAGGGATGGGGCCTCCACTACCTCTCTGGGCAACCTGTTCCAGTGTTTTACCACCCTCATTGTAAAAAATTTCTTCCTTACCTCTAGCCTGAACCTACCCTGTTCTAGTTTAAAACCATTTCCCCTTGTCCTAACACAGCTGGCCCTACTAAAAAGACGTTCCCCATCTTTCCTATAGGCCCCCTTTAGGTACTGGAAGGCCGCAATCAGGTCTCCCCGTAGCCTTCTTTTCTCCAGACTGAACAAGCCCAACTCTCTCAGCCTGTCCTCATAGGAGAGGTGCTCCAGCCCTCGGAGTTCATTCGTGTTCATATAGTCCTGATTTCCCTGTAGAAGATCTGAGGGGTTTTGGATTGCGCAGTATTAGGAGTAGTGCACTTGGGTGGTGTGGTATCTGAGCTGCCGGGGTGGAGTTTGAGCAGGGAGGAAGAAGCATTTGGAATCCCCGTATAGTGCAGCATTAGACGCAAGGTGAGTGCGGAGTGGGATGTGCCAATAATCCGCATGTTTCTTTTTCAACTTGATCTGGATGCATAAATCCTCCTTTCCCTAAGGGATGGTATCCTGCTTTCCTAATCTCTAAAGCGACAAACTGCCCTGGAAGGTGGTGGAGAGGCCAAACCTGGTCTTGCTTTCAAATTTCATTTTAGTTACCTCCCTTGGAGAGCTGAAGGAAGGGGTTCTGCCATTTGCAGACTTGTGATTTACATTCCTGTAGGAAGGCCCTAGACTTTCTGGCTGGGCTTTGTTGCAAATCATTTGCTATATGGAACTTTTTGACTTTTAAGCAGCTAGCATCCCAATATAAAAATGCTGTAATTCTGATGAATTTTCCCTCATGGACATTCAACTCGGAGATTGCAGAAAGACACGGTCTGGTGCCCAGTTGCTGGTTTCCAGCAACAGATACCATGAAGAACATCTGACCTGGAGTCCTAGGCGAGGCTCAGGCTCGGCTGGATGTTCCTTTTTTTTTTTTTCCAGACTTCCAAGTGAAGAACTGAGAGCAAAATTACAACCTATTTCTGAGGATTGTAAAAGCCTACTTTTGTCCTCAGTCTTTTTACTAAAATAAAACCAGTAGCTTTTTCCCTTCATTTTTCTCCTGCTTTGAGTTCTGTTTCTCCTGTGTTATTTCTTATTCAACCACAGACTTGAAACAAAAGTAATTCAGATAAGTTCTGCAGTCTGCAATTTGGGATCTTGGCTTAGGTGACCGTAATGGTGCTTTATGGTGCATTGTCTGCTAATGGCAGTTGTTTGAGGTTTTTTTTTTTCCTCTTGTGTGCAGAGATATCCCGATGCCTCTAGTCAGCTCTGGAGTGGAGCACGGGAACCTGAGAGAACTTGCCTTGGCCAGGATGAAAGATCTTGGGACACAGGTAAAATATTTGTCAATTGGTATCGAGGGAGAGCTGCTCGATGACTTTACACAAAGTAGCAGAGAGGAAAGTATTGACCAGAAGGCACGATAGGAGCCAGGTTTACTGCTGAACTAAAATGATCTGCAAAGGTCTTTCAAAAAAAACTTAATGACTAAAAAGCGCCTTGATGATACTGCTGAAAAGCTTTTTTTCTTTGGTTAATTTTTAGTTTAGTGCTTTCACCTCCTTCCTGAAGGTACCTGGTAACTAGTTTGTGATATTCCATTTTTTAACAGAACAAACCCCTTAAATCAGAGAGAAGGCAGGAAGGTTTCTTTTTAATTTATGCTATTAGAAATTCTCCTTCCTTTCTTTTTCCCACGCATGCACTTACTTGACTGAACAATTGGAAGAAAAGCTCTTAGTCTGAGGCCAGAGAAATCTTGCAGGAGAGATTTCAGCACAAACAAATGAGACTTGATATTCTTGATATTTCTAAGGTCAAATAAAAATATGAGCGGGGGTGGAGAGAAGGAGGGGGAGGGAGGAATTGCATTTGTATTTGAAGTCAGAAGCAAGTATGTATACCCAGTCTTGATTTTTCTCGGAAGGTCGCTGTGGCAGTGGGCATTCACAGTGCCCTTCGTGATCTACTCTGACACTGCTCCCTCTTTGAACCTCCCTCCGAAACCTGGTTATCAGCCACAGTTTGCAGATCCTCCAGTAAAGTTAGGCCCAAGTTTTGCCTTTCTAGGCTTGTCCGACTTCCTAGAGAAAACATCACGCAAACCTCCTGCTCCTTGAGACTGTTCCAAAGGGGTTTAATTGCTTTGGTGTCCTGGTATTCAGGCAGGGGCAGATCCTCACCACGACTGTTCCGTGCATCTGTATTGTGATTTAGCGCTCCCCCTTTCTAGCTCACCTTCGCTTAAAGAGGTTTTAAGGCTTTACTGCATCCAGCAATAGTGAAGTCTTCAGCTACTGCACGTGTGTCTGTAACCCCACGTCAACTTGTGCTGCTGACCTGTATGTTGGTATTTAACCTGGATAGTTCTCTAGGCTACATCTAGCTCCTCACTGCCTTTGCCATCTCACTTGGATCTTGTGGTTGCAGTACAAAAGACCAGAAAATAAACTCCAGACTGTCTTCTTCCAGCTGGGCTTTCCATACCACTTAATCTCTCCTAAGCTGATGCCCTGGACTTTCTCCTTAAATCATTCTTCCCAGTCTCTCTCCAGTAGCAAGCTGGGATTTGGCAGACAGCTTTGCCAGCCACAGAAGCTTCCATCCCTCCTGCTGACTTTTCACTTCAAAAACAGGCAGGGGAGACAACCTCCATGGTGCAGCTAAGCCTTTTCAATTGAGCTCTTTAGGGCTACTAGTGAACTCTTCCCTGGGTTTGATACTAAAACCACATCATTTCATCTGAACCTGATCAAGACCAGCTGGAGAAGCAGGGAGAGCTGATCCATGGCAGTCAGGGCTGAGCTGAACCATTAAAGAGCTTGTCAGGCTGGCAGTCATTGCTTTTAGAAGAACCAAATCTGTAAATATCTCTGCTGTGCAGATGATTATAGATTTTAATTTAGTGAGGCAGAAACGCTGCAGCTGGTGGAATGAGGAACCAAACAAGCTGCTGCAATATAGCTTGAAATGTAAGGTACTGTTGTGGTTTTCTTGTGTTGTAGGAGAAAATTATAAATATGCTTTTGTCCTCTTGTCTCTTAGCTTGGAAAAGGCCAAGGCAAGGAGGGGACTTAACTTTCAAGATGCAGCTGGTCAGGGTGCTGGGACATCTTTAGACTGTGGTCTTGCCTAGAAAGGTTGGACCAAATGATCCTTGAGGTCCCTTCCAATCTGGTAGTCTATGATTCTGGGACTTTTAGGAATCTTACCTGTTTGCAGGCTCAATAGTAAAGATCAGCCAGCTCATCAGCTCTGGCAGTTCTGGCTTCTGTCTTTGGGGAATGGCTTGGGGAGGAGTGCGTTTGAGGGATGGGGATCAGTCATGCCAACACTGCAACTTGGGTCTGTGGTTGGTGAAAAGAAATTATTCTTGAGGAACCTTGTTGGAGGGACCGGCCATTGGCTGTCGTCATTGCCAGCCACTGAGTACGAGTGGAGATACGTGGTTGGGACACAGATTTTTAAAGCAGCATCCCAGAATACATCGTCTGTCCTCACTTCTGTGGTTCTTAATGAAGCATGGATATTCCTCTGCCTTTTACTGTGCTGTTTGAGTAAGGCAGAGAAGAGTTTGTCTACTCTAGAATCCTGGTACAACAGTGAATCCCGATTTTAGCATGGCCCACTGTGAAAAACAAACACAAACCCCCACTTTTTTCTGCTGTTTGGGAGATTGTTGCTTTGTACTGATAATGGAATTTAAAAGCATTCAGAGGACAGGGCAGGAGATAGAGCTGTGCTTGTTCTAGATCCTCTTGAGTTTCAGTATGAATTGGATTTTCACACATTCTTTCCCTGTCTCAAAGTCCGGCTTTTGGAAATACATGGGCAGGTAGATGTTGTTGCCGCTAGAGCCATTTTAGCCCATTGGTGGGGGTTATCTTCCTTCCCTCCGAGTACAGTAGCGCTAGTGGAATGAAACAAGCATTTGCAGCTCAGCTGCTTTGGACAAAATTATTGTGGCTACACTTTGCTGACAAAAGTTGGGTTAAGCTGAGCATTGGACGTTCCAATAAACCCGCTAAGACGTGAATGCACGTAGGCTCCCGCAGTTGGAGTGCTTGTACTATCACAACTGTTTGCTTACATGGATGGGTGCCAAATTACTCAACTTCCATTGGCTTTGCTGAGAGGCATAAAAGTTGACGCAAGCCATAACCCATCTATCAAGCACTGAGCTTGGAGCCTCGTCTCCTCCTCTGTCTGACTTTTAAGGGAGGGAAGATTTCTTTTGGCTGTCTTTTGTTTTCTCCATCATTTCTCCTCAGCAATGCTCTGTGGATGCCAGATCAGCGTTAGCTTGACTTTCTGATATTTGGGTAGGACTTCTGCAGCAGTTTTCATGTGATCATTTAAATGCAAGAAAAGGGTTGCTGAGGTTCAAAAACTGGCTATTTAAGGACTGGTGTCTTAGCGTAGATTTTGCCAGCATTAGACCTTTGCAGTGTAGGGTAAAAATGGACTATGCCAAAGTCTTTTTTTTTTTCTGTTATTCTTTCATGTATGTTGACTTTGCCTCCAGACCCTGCTGTTTGTGAATCAAAGGGTACGTTTCCTCATGAGCCATAATGGTTGCTTAGTGAATTGATTTTTGCCAGCATGTCTTTCCATTTATCACTAAGACCTCTTTCTGAGGTATATTAGGGATGGATCGGTGAGCATTTTTATTTTGAAGTCTGCCCATTTGAAATTCATCCTTGCAACTTCATGCTATTTCAGCTTAGGTTTGAACCCAATAGGTGGCTGGAAATCTGTGTGTTTCAGAGCTTAATGGTTTTTTCCCATGTAATTTTTTTTTTCTTCCCTTTCTGTTCCTAGTGTCGTGATGTAAGGACAAGAGAGGTTGGAATTCAAGAAATCCACCATAAAGTGAGACCATATCAGGTAAAATTTGCCTTTTTTTCTAGGAGCTTGTTTCAGACACAATTTGTTTTGTGTCTTTGGTGTGGAGGCGTTGGGACCCATTTGTTGCACGTCCAATCCTGCGGTTTGCCTTTGTTGCTGGATCCAATTTTCCATTTATTTTCACAGCAGCTTTGGATGTTTCTTGTTTGAGCACAGTCGCATGTTGAAATGTATGGACCACCACGTTCCATAAACTGACTACAGCCAGCAGTTATTTTGGTATTTGCATTGTTATAACAAAAGAAGCAGCTCTTACTGCTTCTCAGCCTTCCTTTTTCTCCCTCCTCATTACAAATCTGGCTTTAGAAAATACCAAAACCACAGAGCGAGCATGCTGAACAGGAATGAATGTTTAGCAAGATGAATTTACAGCTTTTTTTGGGAATGTGCATGTTTATATAGGCAAAAAGTACGTGTATAAATACACTTCTGCACATATATGTATACATTTACATGTGAGTAGATCCAGTCAGCATATGACACGTGTTGTTTTTTACCTTCCTAAAATAGTCCACAAAAAGATTGCTGTGCTTATTTCATAGAAAGGAAAATGTTTATATATGGCACCTAAGGAGACGAGCTTTCTAAGATCACACAGGGTCGGATCCGTCTTAGTGTACATGTATGCTGTGGCTAATGAATCGTACCCTGCAAGTATTCCCTTCCTCTTCCTTCGGGGACATTAAGGAAGGATTTGAAATGATTGCAGTTTGTCCATCATATATCTCCTTTACTTTCAAACAAGAATTCTCTGTGCCAGGCCCCCAGGTAGAAAGCTGAATCAGAATGACACTTGCATACCTCTCTCCTCTTCTGTGCAATGGGCACGTACGTACCCGCTTTCTAAATGTGAGCCACGAAACTGGGGTTAGGCTTTCAGTGTGTCAGGGCAGAAAGAGATTCCTAACAGCGGTCCCCTCAGTTGTATTTTGGAAGCTCCACTGATGATTTAGGCTTCAAAGAGGCTCTGAGTTTGGTGCCAGAAGTTAAGAAGCATGAATATTCTCCAAGTTTAGCATCTGGGAGATGTTCTCACTTTGCAAATTGGAGATTACTGGGAGCCATATTCTGTTTTTCTCCTGCCGTTATGTGAATTCAGATGGAGTGCAATACTTCCCATCTTGCATAGCGGAAATCCAGCATGGAAGTGTATAATGATCCCAAACAAATGATCTTGTTCTTAACAGATTTCTGCAAGAACTGAGGCTGTATGGACTCGTTCGTACATAGGCCATGCAGCCTTTGTGCTCTGCTCCCATTACCTAATCTGTGGTCATTTCACGAAATATCTTCCAAAGACGGCTGTTGTCAGCAGCGCTAATCTAATTTAAATTGTAAATTTCTTGAGTAGTTAGCAAATAGCTTATCACAGGGTTTTCAAAGCAACGTTATGTTGAAAATTCCCTTTGTTAAACTCATCTGTCTGAGTGGCAGGAGGATGTCATTATGTAGTCTTAGCAAAATTTATCATGACAGCAAGCAAGAGAAATATTCTGAAGATGGTATAATTTTTCATGCGCTTTAGACTAATGACAAGGTACGATGTTTTTCTTGGCTTCAATAAGTAAACAACGCATCCTCTCGATAAGAGAGGCTATCATGTCAGATCTGAAATAAATTAATGGCTTGCTGTAATTAGTTACACTTTATGCAACTTCTGTCTCTTAAGGATTGGTGGGCTGTATGTATTTCTATAATGGCGATGGTGTGTCTGCTTTTAAAAGAATTTTTTTTTAAAAAATCAATTGGAAGTAGATTACTTGCCTGTAGCTGGTTATTTCCAGAGCTGTCTCTAAGCTGCCTTTTCAATTAGTGGCGTTTCTCCATAGCAGCGGAAGGTATTTGCTTGCTCTCAGAATGGTTAAGGCTGCACAGTGCTACGTAATAGCCTTAAAAATGCTCTAGTGAATTGTTGCTGTAAGGAGACGTTGGATTGACAGTTTTTGAAAGGCGAGGGGCAATGACAGCTCTGTTTCAGATCGGAACCTGCATTAGTGTTAAAGCAGAAAGTGTAAGACGTAGAAGCTGCCGTTCCTGCAAAACGAGGGGGTTGTATCAAGATAATGATCTCAATAGAGAGCCTTTGTAGGAAGAAGGCAGATTTTTAAGCTGGGAGTAGAATCACAGAATGGTTTAGGTTGGAAAAGTCCTTTAAGATCATTGAGTCCAAGCGTTCCCCTACCCCTGCCATCCCACCCCCAAACCCTGGCCCTCAGCACCGCCTCTGCCCGGCTGTTAAATCCCCCCAGGGCTGGGGACTCGACCCCTTCCCTGGGCAGCCCCTTCCAGTGCCTGACAGCCCCAAGGGGAAGGAATTGTTCCCCATGGCCAACCTCACCCTGCCCTGGCACAACTTGAGGCCATTTCCACTCGTTCTATCGCCCTTACCAGAGAGGAGAGACCAAAAGTAGCTGCTTTAGGTCAAGAATGTAATCTGCAACTGGGTTTTCTCTTTGTTTGTCAAAGTAAGTTTAAAACAGACTGTGCCAGACAGCTAACAGGATTGCATATGAAGTGGTGATCCACCCTGGTGAGGGTTATTCTTACCCAGCGCACAGGATGGTTTATGGCCACAGGAGCTGACACTGGGAACTACAGCAGGCTGCCACCCATCGCTATGCATCAACCCACCAGGAGGCGATTCAGTCTGGCTTTGGCCATGTTTATACCAATATCCCAGAAGGAAAAGGCTTTGCACGGCTCGGGAAAACCCTTTTGAGGTGACTTATGTATCCTAGGACCCTCTTGTGCCCAGGGAAGTGGGGAGAACAAATGACTCGAACCAGCAGGGACTTTTCTGAGCAGATGAGCTTCTCTGGTACATGCTTACGGTGCTATAAAAGTGCACACGGTATAAAGCCTCCTGGTGAAGGTTCCTGTAGTCTTAAATTGTTTCTGTCTACAGGTGGCTTTCAGACTGGATGTGGGTGTAACAGGGCACCGAGTGGAGGACAAGCAATGGAGCCATGTTTTCTACTTTTTTTGTCCTCAGGAGAAACCAGGAGTTCTCCAATCTTGCCCTTCCAAACTCTTAGTTATAGCAGTGTTTAATAATATTTCCTGCTTTTTTTAAAAAACAGCAGTAAGCTTTAACCTAACTGCTTTTCCATATGGAAAGCTAACTGCAGAATCTGGGTATTTTAAAAGCCTCATGATCTTACTTTCCTGTACATTTCCATTTTACCAGTGATGTTACGTACCTAATGGTAGATCTGTATCAGTGTGTGTCAGCCGTCCTGACACACAAGCTGGAGCGGAGTTGTGTTCTTGGAGAATTTGGCACATTGGCAGACATCTGCTTGGGTGCTTAACCCCGTGAGCTGTACGTCAGCCTTGAAACGAGCCCTGCTTCTGTAGTCAGTAAGGGATTTAATTGTGAGCTGTGTTCACCCAGGCTTTATCATGGAGTAGAGCAGGCAGGCGACAGAATCCTGTATGGTTTTTCTGTAAACAAATCTTTAATTCATGGGTTTCTGGGTATTAGAGGATTTGCAGAAAAAAATACTGAAGTCCTTTGCTTTAGGTTTTATAGTAGTACTGGGAAGGGGCACGGCAAGATATATATAGGGATTGATCCTGTACGGTCAGGATGTAAATGTTAGAAACACCGGTGCAGCGCTGGTGCACAGGGCATCTGCTGACACTTGCCATTTACATTCGAATTCCTGACGTTCAAGGAGTCTCTCAAAACGATGGCAGGTATATCTATGTGGTGGGTTTAGTTCAGATCAGGAGCGTGCTTGTGAAGCAAATCCTCCCATCATTCCCCACTTCGAAAGCTTCGGGAAGCACAGAAACCTGGTTTCATAGAATCATAGACTCATAGAATGTTTTGGGTTGGAAGGGACCCCTAGAGGTCATCTAGTCCAACCCCCCAACTGGTTTCTTCCAGTTTAATTTAGAAAGCACCTTCCAGGAGTGCACCTAAGGTACGCCAGCTGGTAACGGGTGCCTGGTTCATGGGATGAGACCAGGACTAGTCTCTGCTGAAAATCTCCCAGCATATATTGCATCGTCATCTGGCTCTCAGTATTGCAAGCTATTGCTGCCACTCCTCTGTGGAGCCAGGCAATTTGGGAAATAATTTTATCTGCTTAGCAGCTGTTTGTTACTGATGGGCAAGGGAGTCCCTACAGCAAGGATGGGCAGCTATTTCAGCTCTACCATATCAATTCAAAATGCAAATAGAGTGACGCACTGTGTCGCCAAAGAGGTGACATTATCATCATTGGCTACAGGTTACATCAAATAAACTCAGTGCTACCCCTGCTACATATAAACACAGCTACCGTTATGTGAGATTTGATCAGGTCTCCTGTTGCCATAAGAGAGTCTCATCTCGGGTCCTGGGGCTGCTCCTTGAAGATGGTAGGTCAGGACTGTCTGAAAAAATTCCTTTTTTTCTCCTTTCTGCTCTCTTATCCACCAGTTACTCTTTAAAGCATCTAGGTGCTCTGCAGAAGTAATTTCTTCTACCCAAGCATGGTCTTCATTGTATTCTCCACAGTCAGCCAACTCTAACTTCACTTTCCCTCCCACTTGTTGTGATCTCCAGAGCTGCCCTTGTCTAGATTGTTATAAAAAAATCACAGACTCACAGAATGGCAAGGGTTGGAAGGAACCTCAGGAGATCATCTAGTCCAACCCCCCTGCTGAAGCAGGTTCTCTTAGAGCATGTTACACAGGACTTCATCCAGGTGGGCTTTGAATATCTCCAGAGAAGGAGACTCCACAGCCCCCCTGGGCAGCCTGGGCCAGGGCTCGGGCACCCTCACAGTCAACAAGTTCTTCCTCATATTCAAATTAAACCTCTTATGATTTGAGGCAAGTAGTATGTTGTTACTGGTCAGTTCTCAGGGTGCTTGTCTGGATGGTTTT